TTAAAAGCTGAAGCTTGGGTTCTGGAAACCGAAAAATTATTTGAGGTTTTTCCGTGCTCTGAAGCACATAAGGTACTGTTGGCCACCTTCACATTGCAAGAAGAAGCTAGAAGGTGGTGGATGCTCATCCGTGATGAAAATACTGTTCTGCCTTGGGCTCAATTCAAGGGAGCCTTCTTTGAAAAATACTTCCCTCAATGTGTTAGGGACAGGAAAATAACTGAGTTTGAACAGCTGAGACAAGGAGCAATGTCTGTGGCTGAATATGAGACGAAATTCACCGAGCTTGCTGGATATGCACCGCATATGGTGGATACTGAGTATAAGAAGGCCAGAAAATTTGAAGGCGGCCTTAATGTTGCAATTCTTGACCGAATAAATGTTCTGAAACTACCGAACTATGTGAATGTCCTTGACCGAGCCTTGATGGCTGAATCGAACATTGAAGCACTGAAAACTGAAACACCATTGTCTGAATGGCGGGGTAAAAGGCAGAGTTTCAAGTTTAAGAAAGGCAAGCATAGTCCATTGAACAAGAAACAGAATACGGGGTCAACGACTACGTCTAGTCAAGGAAACCGTACAATACCGCCCTGTTCTGAATGTGGTAAAAATCACAAGGGAGTCTGTTACAAGATATCAGGAGCCTGTTACAGGTGTGGCAAGGTGGGCCACATGGTTAAGGACTACCTCTCTACTCCACAAGCTAGTAGTAAAGCTACACCAAGTATAGCGGCATCAACTGTTACACCAAAACTGAACCCCAAAGCTACCGGGAAAGAGCCTATGAGGCAGGGCCGAGTGTTCACCCTAGTACCGGGAGACGTCCAGAATACCAAGACCGTTGTGTCAGGTATTCTCTCTATTTGTACTCAAAATGCATATGTATCCTGCTATCTCTCTGGCCAAGGCACCCATAGCCTGCTGACCTACTGGCTCAGCCACATTGGCCTGCCCAACTCCCTCCTGCACTGCCGGAATCTCACCCTGTAACGGCACTTCCTGCCTTGCAGGTCTACCACGCCTAGCGTTAGCTGTATCATCATCCGTTGGGGGATCTATGACCTGTGCATACATGTACCCTGCTTGTGAAATTATTGTTGGAGATGCACATTTGTTTATCGATTTACTGCCATTGAACGTTGATCATTTTGATGTAATATTGGGGATGGACTGGTTAACGAAATATCATGCCACCATAGACTGTGTAACGAAACAAGTAGTTTTCCATCCACCTGGTCTACCTGAATTTGTGTTTAATGGGGTTGGAGTAGTACCTCCCCCGTATCTGATTTCATCTGTGAAAGCTGTAAAATTGATTAGAAAGGGCTGTAAGGGATATTTGTGTTCTGTACTGACTGTATCTACTGATGATAATGTTAATGTGAACTGTATTCCTATAGTTAGAGAATTCCCAGATGTCTTTCCAGACAATTTGCCAGGGGATTTGATTGACAGGGAGATTGAGTTTACTGTTGATGTGGTTCCCGGAACACAGCCAGTATCGAAAGCTCCTTACCGAATGGATTCAACTGAACTGAAAGAACTGAAGGTGCAATTGCAAGAACTATTAGACAAAAAGTTCATCAGGCCCAGCACTTCACCGTGGGGCGCACCTGTTCTGTTTGTAAAGAAGAAAGACGGCTCACTGAGACTATGCATTGACTACCGCGAACTGAACAAGGTAACTGTGAAAAATAAATACCCATTGCCACGTATTGATGACTTATTTGATCAGTTACAGAGAGCGCAAGTGTTTTCTAAGATTGATCTCAGATCCGGATATCATCAGTTGAAAGTTAAATCAGATGACATTGATAAAACTGCTTTTAGAACGAGGTATGGACATTAGGTGATAAAAAAAAAAAACTGAAAACTCAAAATAGAAACATATTTTTTGTGTTTTCATTTTTTGACTAAATTTATAAACTGAGACTACTGATTTATAAATAAAAAATTTTACCAAACAAATTTTTATTTAAGTTTTTTAAATTTTTATAAATATAAACAGAAAACTGAAAACGTAAGTGTTACCAAACGGCACCTAAGAGAACAGAAACTGTATGCTAAACTATCTAAATGTGAATTTTGGCTTGACCATGTTATGTTTTTGGGGCATGTTGTTAGCAAAGATGGGATTTCTGTTGATCCGCAGAAAATTGAAGCTGTAGTGAACTGGCCTAGACCAACGAACGTGACTGAAGTCTGAAGCTTTTTGGGATTGGCTGGATATTACAGAAGATTTGTCAAAGATTTCTCCAAAATTGCCTTACCGTTAACTCAACTGACACAGAAGGGGATATCATTTGACTGGACTGACCTAAGGGAATCAGCATTCCAAGAGTTGAAAACTCGACTTTTGACTGCACCGGTTTTGACCTTACCTTCAGGTACGAATGGTTATACTGTATTTAGTGATGCTTCTCATAAGGGTTTGGGGTGTGTTTTAATGCAGAATGGGAGAGTTATTGCTTATGCTTCCCGACAGTTGAGACCACATGAAAGGAACTACCCGACCCATGACCTGGAACTTGCTGCAGTAGTATTTGCACTGAAAATCTGGCGTCACTATCTGTACGGGGTGACATGTGAAGTATATACCGACCACAAGAGTTTGAAATATTTCTTCACACAGAAAGAACTGAACATGAGACAGCGGAGATGGCTAGAACTGATTAAAGACTATGACCTGCAGATTTTGTACCATCCGGGAAAAGCCAATACCGTTGCCGATGTATTGAGTCGGAAATCAATTGGAAACTTGGCCTGTTTACTCACTGGACAGAAAGAGCTACTTTGTGACCTTGAAAAATCTAAAATTGAAATTGTTTTGTGAGAACAAGGCGGAACCTTAGCTGCTATTTCTGCTCAACCAGCCTTGATAGAAGAAATTAAAGAGAAACAGCAACTGGATGACTTCTTGAAAAAGATCATCGAAGAAAGAGAATCTAAACCGAGACCGGGATTCAAATTTGAGAATAATGTACTGAAATTTCAAGAAAGACAGTATGTACCGAATGATACTGAATTGAGAAGAAGAGTTCTGCTAGAGGGCCACAATTCAAAATTGTCTATCCATCCAGGGAACACGAAAATGTACCAAGACCTGAAATTGAATTTCTGGTGGCCAGGAATGAAGAAAGAAATCGCAGAATTTGTATCGAAATGTCTTCATTGCCAACAAGTTAAAGCCGAACATCAACGACCCGCAGGCTTATTGCAGCCCTTACCGATACCGGAGTGGAAATGGGAACATATCACTATGGATTTTATTGTGGGATTGCCTCGCTCCAGTAAAGGTATGGACTCGATTTGGGTTATTGTTGATAGACTGACTAAATTTGCTCACTTCTTACCTGTGAAGACAATTTATAATGCGGACAAATTGGCTATACTCTATATTGACGAAATTGTTAGACTGCATGGAGTGCCTGAGTCCATTGTTTCTGACAGGGATTCGAAGTTTACATCGAGATTTTGGCAAAGCCTACAGACTGCACTGGGTACTGAACTGAGACTGAGTAGTGCCTACCATCCTCAGACAGATGGCCAGTCAAAAAGGACCATCCAGACTCTGGAGGATTTACTGAGAATGTGTCCTTGATTTTCAGGGAAACTGGGAAAGCCATTTACCATTGGCTGAATTCGCCTACAACAACAGCTACCATTCGAGTATTGGTATGGCGCCTTTCGAGGCATTGTATGGCAGAAAATGTAGATCTCCGATTTGTTGGGCAGAAGTTGGAGATGGGCCTTTGCTTGGGCCCGAGATTGTATATGAAACAACTGAAAAAGTGAAACTGATACAACAGAGATTGAAAATTGAACAGAGCAGACAGAAGAGTTATGCTGACGTCAGAAGACGAGACAGAGAGTATGAAGTGGGTGATCAAGTATTTGTGAAAGTGACACCGATGAAATGCCAGACTCGTTTTGGAGTCAAAGGCAAGTTAGCGCCGAGATACGTCGGACCATACGAGATTATCGAGAAAATTAATCCGGTGGCATATCAAGTTGCGCTTCCTCCTGAAATGGAGCATATGCATAATATTTTCCACATTTCTATGTTAAGAGATTATCTCCGGGATCCCTTCCATGTAATAGAGCCTACCCACGTAGTGTTGAGTGATGACTACACTTACGAGGAACGGCCTATACAGATTGTAAACCGACGGATCAAGAAACTGAGGAACAAAGAGATTCCGCTGGTAAAAGTTGACTGGCAAAACCACGGTGGCGTGTATGCCACTTGGGAAAGGGAAGATGACATGGCCAAACGATATCCTGAACTGTTTCCACTGAATCCTGTTTTCTTCCAGAACGAAGGTAACTCGAGTTTAGGGGACTAAACTCTTTATAAGGAGGGGAGACTGTAACAACCCTCGTACTGTTTACTGATTTATGACCGATTGATTACCGTTAATCACCGATTACTGTTAAACGAAACGGATAATGACTGATAACTGACTGATAATTGAACTGAGTAAAGTACTGAACTAACTGATTGAAATTGGAATCTGAATTAACTGAGTATATGATGGTTAATTGCATTCTATCTGTTTGATTGTCTGATTATCTGTTCATGTTTATATGTTTAAACTGCTAATTGAAGGCCTTATCGGCGGCCGAATTAGAAACCGATTGATGTTCCGTGACCCTCATAATTAATGTGATTTTATGGTATAATTATCTGAAAACTGATTAGGTATGATTAAATTAGATTAAAATAAGCCAATTAAAGAGTTTGCCATATTTACCATTTTGCCACTATCTCATATACACACACTTGAGCCTTGTAAACACTCCACGTATTGATTAAACCCACACTTCTTCTCACATTTTGAGCCTCAACCGACCCTAGAGAGAGAGAGACTTGAGGAGTTGGTTTTCATCTTGAATTGCTTGGAATTGCTTGGAATTGAAGTGTAGATTGCTATATTGAACCTCTAGACTTGCATTGGAGACCTAAGGTAGAGTAATTACTCTCTTGTTTGTGAATTCAAGATCAGGCTTGAGGACTTTGATAGCCACCTCCTGACTGCAGTATGTGCCTTTATACCTGAAGAAGACAAATGATATGATATACTGACAGCTCAGACACAATCAGAAATAGGTTGAGAGTGACAAAACTCACAGATCACCAAATGAACCAGATCCAACGCTGCTTTCAAATTTCAGCAGGCTAGCATCAATTTCCCAGACATCAGCTCCATCAGTAGGTATTTTCACATAATCAGTAGAGGATATAGATTGCACTTGGCTAGGTTCGATGATAGGAAACAATGCATGTTGATTTGAACAAATTTTATCCTGCAGAATATTTACAAAAAAATTCATTTACAAATAGATGCATAATACATGGTAATTAAAACAGATGAACTACAGATCCAGAAACATAAGTGAAATATGATTAATTAAGCTCTGTAATAGGTCTATCAATGGCTGTGTATTTCAAATATCAACCAGATTTAACCCAAAAATCAAAAACAAAAACAGAATTAGGCATTCTTGAGAAAATGGGGAAGAGGGTGGGAATAGCTAACGAAAAAGTCAGAAAGAAAGATAATGTCTAATAGTTTACGAACCAAAGCAAACTAAGCCTGCGTCCCAATCAACTAGGGTTGGCTACGTGAATCTTTTTTTGCCATTCCACTCCAATAATTCAAATATTCTTTGAAACCATGCACAACATAATAAAAGCTGGAGATTTGCTAGACACAAATATGGAAAATATAAGTCAATATGGCTTTGAGATCTATCTTTATTAAAGTTTGATAGTTGTCATACAGAATTGAAAGCAGAACAAGTCATAAAACTGAAGATGACATTTAGATACAAGATTTCTCTATAACTCTTAGGTTAATTACTAGAGCATGAGACAACACATAAGAGTAAAATAAAGCAGTAAGTCCTCAGCTCTCCAGCAACATTGGATATTATTACTATTATTATGATTATTATTATTAGTAGTAGTAGTAGTAGTAGTAGTAGTAGTAATAGTAGTAGTACTCGTATTGTTATCGTTATTGTTATTTTTATGTTATTCACTGGGCTTTAGCTCACTGCTCATATATATATGTAGGTGTACAGGCACCGAATCAAAGCTAGAGGCGTCAGGGTTTTCCAGTTTTGTCAAGCCAACCACCGTGCCTCACTGCGAGGTTCCGAGTTCGCCATGCTATGGCTTGGGGGGTCTTTTCCCCCGCTAGTCCCTGTTACTGTTTGTATTACTGTACTGTACTGTTATCAAGGGATTATATCCCTGTACTGAATATCTGTAAATGCTTGTATAGCCTGTACTGTTGTGATTATATGAATGCATGAAAAATCTTTTTGGCATACAGACTGTCATAACTCATTGGGCATTGTTTATTTACTGTTTTGGCTTCCGCCAGGCCCTGTACTCTGTTTTACTATTCTACTGTTCTGCAGGCCTTCGGTAATCTCGGATTACTGGCCGGTTACGGTGCTAAACCCATAGGGTCGGGTTTGGGTCGTGACAGAGGTGGTCTTCCATTTAAGCTCTTTATTTTCGGTCTTCAGTGTGCCTATTTCTGCTCGCGCATCCTGGTACATGCACTGTAGCAGAGCGAGTTGGGCATTGACCTGATGGAGCTCATTCGTCCTGTTCTGCAGTCGGTAAGCCAATTTTGTGACTGCAGTCACCGTCTCCATACAGAACGTCAGTGTGAAATGATTGGCTTCAATGTCTGATTGAGCTGCCATTATTTGGTCAATCGACATCATAGGAAGGTTGGGAAGAGTGGGAGCCGGGGCACTCGGCCTAGCAGTGTTTACGGGATCATTCAGGTCTGGAAAGAGAGTAAGGGGATGAGACAAGGCCATGCAGTAGGAGAGTGAGAGAAATGTAATCGAAAGGAGAGTAGTTTTTGGCAACCTTTCTGCTCTGCTCAGTCTCTCTGTTCTATCTCTCTCACGAAGCGAATGAGGAAAAAGAAGGCGAAGAGAGTGATTAAGAAGAAGAATGAGGAGAACACGACAAGAGAGAGAGAGCCGAGGCAGCTGAATGACTGATTGACCCGTCTCGCTTTTGTCAGTCGGCTGACGCAAAAGCGATGACGCGTGTCTGACGCGATTTTCGACGAACAAAAAAGAGACGCGGGCGAATCCTATATATATATATGTATATATCTATTTTGATAATTTATTTTTTGATATCATTTATCAGTATCATTTTCCTCCTCCTCCTCTAGATTCTGAGCCATATTTCCTTTTGATAATGTCACAGGGGGAGAAAATTATATGATGTTATGTATTATGGTATTATTTTTAAACTAATATGATGTTATGTATTTATAGTTTGATATCTTAATCTTATATCATGTTGTTGATTAAAGCTTATTTATTACACATGTGTTAACTTATGTATTTAGAAATGAATTCAGGGAGTATGATTTGAGGGAGAGCCTTTCTTACTCCCAAATCAAATCAAAATATCATTGTGTGTCATCATAAAAAAAGGGGAGATTGTTAAACTTATTTATTTTGATGATTTATTTAATTATGTTTTAATTTATTTGAAAGAGAAAAATAGAATCTAAAATTTATTTTGATGATTTATTTAATTATATTTTAATCAAAATTTATTTTGATGATTTATTTGAAAGAGAAAAATAGAATCAAAATTTATTTTGTCCCATTATTTATCACCTAAACCTTTATCCTAAATGTTGTTAAAATATATTTAATATTTGATTAAATCAAGAGTTCAAACAACCCAAAATAAAGGTTCAAACAGCCTAGCACAGCAGCAGGCCAAAGCTTCAAAAGGTTCAAGTGAAAGATATTCAAATTAGTATTGATGGAAGTACAATGGCTATGAAGGTTTAAAAGACCAAAAGGTTCAAGTAGAAGATATTCAAATTTATAATAATGGAGTGGAAGATATTCAAATTGGTAATGATAGAAGTACAACAGCTATAAACGGCTATAAATTCAAATGACTACAACGGCTATAATTTTCATTATATATACTAAAGCCTCTAATGTAAACAAGTAACAAAAAATTAGAAAATATTCTTTGATCTATAATCACTCACATCTATTCTCTGAAAAATTCTTTGAGAAGTGTTCTTCAATTTTTGTTTATATCCTCTCATAGAAATTATACATTGAGCCTTATAGCATTAAGCTCATTTTTCTTGTATGAGATTTATAGAAAAATCAAAACTTCATTTTATATATCTATCTTTAAGAGATAATTCTTGTAGCTTTCTGTGAAAGTAAAAATACATTCTTTTCAACCTTGTAAGAGTGTAATACACTCAGTGTTCGTGACTTAGAAGTCTGTGTAAAATCTGTGGAGGATTGCTCCATCTATGAAAAGGTTACTAGCACCCTGTGAAGCTAAAGAATAATGAAAAATCTCAAGTGAAACGTGAGGAGTGGACGTAGGCCGAGTTGAGGCCGAACCACTATAAATTTGTTTGCCTCTCTCTCCCTTATCTCTTTATTTTATTGAAATTGCCATAACTATATTTCATATTTTTATTGTGCTAAAATCATTAATTGGCATAGTTGTTAGAACACTTGTTTTAATTATTTTTATTTCATCAACTATATTTATCTATTGTATTAGTCATAATTTTTATTAGGGTATTATTATTTTTAATTGTAAAAGCCTAATTCACCCCCTCTTAAGTTGTCTTTTGGGTAACATTAATATCAAGCTTTGTTTAGCCCCATAATTATTCATGATGAATTTTATGCCCTTGTGCTCTTAATATAATATTTTTCACTTTACTATGTGCTTATAGTTGTTTACCACTTTTAGATGACATGTCAGGGCTAGAGCGTGGAGGAGGTACAAAGCACTTTGTAGACATAGTTCAGTTCTGACAATTTAATTAAATAGAAGCTCCAATGATTATTTTGGTACCCTCACCTACATATTATTTCCACTTGCGTTTATTTATTTGTTTAAGAATTGGTCAGAGGTAATTTCAGTTACTGGCTATCACGATACTAAACCATTGGGTACGGGGAGCGGGTCGTGACATATATTACTTTTTAAATATATCTAGATTAGGTGCATCTAATTTTTTTTAAAAAAAAATACTTAAAATATTAAAAATATTCACTAAAAATAAAAATATGAAAAATAAAAAACTAAATTTTTAAAAAATTAAATTAAAAAAATTGAAACCAAACAAAGATTATGTTGGACTTAGTCAGTAAATTGGTGAGTGTTACTGTAGAAATATCTACAAGTTTAATTCCTAAGACCATCTCTAATGTTGCATCAGATTCAATATCAAATTTGAATTTGATGAAAAAAGTCACTTTTTTTGCTCCAATGGTTTCACCAAAACTGATATCAAACTAAGAACGGAGCAAATTTTTTACCAAACTGAGAATCTGCGTGACCCTTCACCAATTCACTGTGCTGTAACATTGCAAGTGGGCCCACCAGTCGACCAATTGGTCGACTGGAAAAAGGTTCAAACAGTTTAAATAGGTAGGTTCAAACAAGTTCAAAAAGTAAAAAAATTATTATTTTGCCTTACCGGTCGACCCGCTGGTCGACCCCTGCCTTTGATGACAACCATTGGAGCAGCTAATATCAAATTGAGAAAATGGTCATTTTTGTACTCAGATTTGATGAAAAAAAAAATGAACCATTAGAGATGCTCTAACACATGTTAATATAATTTTAATTAATTATATTTTAAATTAGTTATTAATTATTATTTATTTTATAGTTTTATTCAATTATGTTTTAAATTAATTTAATTTATTTTAATTAACTTACTAATTTAATTTTAGCTCTGAGAATATATATATATATTTATATTTTTTGGTTGTATTGGTTTTGCTTTAATTATTTAGAAAATCAAACCCATTCTAAAAAATTGTATTTGTGATACACCTTTTGTTAGTTTAGCCGAAAACACAAATGGTAATACTTTAATTCAAAATTACATAAGATTTTTTTAACTATATTTAAACCATATGGGTAAAGTGCTCCAACCATGAAAGTTGATGAATTTAATATCAAAATATAAGGTTAAGAGTTGCTTAGGATAATTTAAATAAGAATATATTTTTATTTTTTATTAAAAAATACACAATATAATAAAAATGATGTGATCAAAATAAAAATTGATATAATCCAACTAAAATAAAACGATGTCTTAAAATAACATATTTCAAAAATCCCTTGGCTCTATTTAGTTCTATTCTCAAATCATGATTTCACTATCATATTCTAACCATTTGTTTGATTGTAGTTTTCAAAATATGATTCCAAATCACATTTCAAAACACATTTGAAAATATGTTTGGTGAACCAGAGAGTTTTTGAATTTTTGAGTTTACTCGGTCGTCCGTCCGGACATCCTCTCAGACAGTTTTTGAAATTTTGGGTCTACTCGGTTGTCTGCCCGGACATCCCCTAAACGTCTGACCGGTAGTCTGCCTAGTTGACCAAAATAATGTTTTTTGGTTTTTTTGTGTGTGCGCGTGTGCACGCAACTGCAACCTATTATCCGAAAACAAAAAAATTATATTTGTTTTTAATATTTTTTAAATATAAAAATTATTTTTTAGGCCATTTTAAGCCAAAATTCCAACAAAAAATACAATCAAAAGTAATTTTAAAGCACTAGCTAGATTTTTTTTTCACAAAAAATAATATATGTTTTTTAATATTTCAAATAAAAAAATTTTCTATTTTTTTTTATTTTTTTCAAATAAAAATTATTTATTCAAT